GGGAAATATTATTTAGATGTCCCCCCATAAGCAGAAGCAGGCCCCTACTTCACTGCCCTCACCGTCTTCAGAATATGACGTCATCTGCCATCACCGTCGAGCTCAACGAGGCCTACCGTAATCGCTCCATCCTGAAGCTGCTAATTTCTTCAATCGGTCAATTACTGTATAGCTTACCAGAGACAGCCCTCTGGATTTGCAACACCTCCTCCATCTAACGTTTTAGTAATTATTAACTGTTTAACGATTCATCGAAGATCTTGTTGAGTTTGAGGCGTACGCCATGTTCCCGTGGGAAAACCTCTCAATGCCATCGGTGTAGAAGGCCATTATTAAGTTTCGATAGGCTGGAAGGTGCTCTTCAACATTAAGTTGGGATCGTCCGGCTTGATACAAAACTGTAACTAATTTTCTTTTAGATGTGGAAGGGAGTGACTCTTTTTTTTGCCCCTCAAGTGACTCTTTTTTGCCTCTTATCCTGTATCGCTTAGTGAAAATTGAGGCGGCAAAAACCAATGTTTTCGACAAGTGCTGATCTTCGTTTTCAAGAAGTTTACGAAACGTTTCAGGCACATAAAAAAGATTCACCCTGCTGACATGACATGAATGAATTTGACTTTACGAGTATCCAATCTAATGAAGTATTGCTGAGAACTTGACAACCCTGCTGTAGCTCGACGGGTCTGGAGTAGACATAAATCAACTGTTAAAGTGTTCACCGGACGGTTTTTGTGCATTTCATTTTTTCTAATGGAAAAAAGCTGCATGGATTGTTTAGGGAATTTGCTGCGCTATCGCAAATTACGTGGGCATCGTGGTGGCAGTGCTTTTCGAATCTCACAAAACACCTCCTTTTTGTTGAAATCGGGACTAACAATACGCATTAAAGGCGAAGTTTGGGCTCAGACCCACTTAAGAAGCCCTTACCGTGGCTAGAAGTGCTAGGTACGCAAGTGCAGAGGTCGCGCCACTTCCTACATCGAAAAGCGTTACTAAGACGCTAGGCGCTAAGAACTTTGACACGCTCCACCTGTCTGACATGCTCCGCCCACCGCTCGATATCTTGTCTGCGTCGCAATGTTGATCTGCTATGCTCGGACTTCTCTACCGCTCTCCGCGCTCACATTATCTCTCCTTCCTGCCGGCCTTTTGAACTTCTCCGCAGCGTAGAGCAAAAGCTCGTATTTCCTGTGTATTTCACGATTTTCTTCCCCTTTTTTCTCCACTGACCCGAAGTTTCTGTCTGCTCTTGTGCCACTTCCTAAAGAATGCCCCATATCTTGCGATTGCGCCAAAGTTTCTTCCAACTTTCTTGGCTCCCTAGAACACACAGATTCCAAGACTAGCAGACAACATTAAGACTTCTTACCGCTACTGTTATGAATAATTCTTCTTAGCATGAAGCAAAGTACTGATGAAGGCATGTGTATATTATAGGATTCCTGGTCTACTCGCTGTTCCAAGGCACAGCTCAACAAACGATTGCTTACATAGAGGCTGAACTGGAGAGGAACCACCATATCATGGGTTGGCTGTCACCGTACAATATGCGAAACAATTACACTCAAAACTGGTACGTTTTCGCTCAGACTAATGTTTGACTGAAAATGACCAGTCTAATTTTCTGACTGTTTACACTTGTACATCTGAAAGTAATCTTGTAGAGTCATTGTTTGTGATACCCAAAGTTATCCACTTTCTTGTTTGTCCCGTCCAGGCCAATATGAGTGAACGAAGATGAGAAAAAGCACTGATTCATAAGTGCCCTCTCCCTGACAGCCACTTTTTAGACTCGCAATTCCTACTCCCCTATAATATTCCAGTTTTCATTTCCTGCATTCTCAATTGAGCTGAAATATGGGCGGAAGTGGTGCAGTGACAAGTGGCGCGCTCACCACGCGAGCGGTCCGGGATCAAATCCTGGGTCGTGAGTCGCCCGGGCCAACCAAGCCTTCCATCCCTCCGGGGTCGGTTAATTGGTACCAGACTTGTCTGGGAGGATAAAAAACACTGACTTGAACATCGGCTGGCCCCCGCAAGTCATTGTATAGGCCACATCGCATTCAAATGCCACTGCGAATGTACAAATGGAAGTAGAATGCGTGCCGCATCCCAAAAAGGGATTGATCAACGGCAAATGCTTTATCCTTTATTTTATTTCGGTTAGTCATCCACCCCAGGTGCCAGGTCAGAACGGTTCAATAAGAGCTCGGTCTATATTTAAACCTCGGGCACGCCGAAGCCTCTAGCTCTTCACAGGCTGTTTAAATACAATAGTTTTGGACCTGTGTGGTAGGACAAAAAACTGACTGAATATCGCTTGTTCCAGCCGATGTCACTGTATAGGCATATCGCATTCAAGTAAATGCTTATTTGATTCCGGAAGGAAGTGGAGTGCACGGCACATTCCTTGAAGGGTATACCGCGGGAAAATTTTTTATTCAAACATTTCCGAGATACAATCGATGAAGTAAATATCACATGCTGAAAAAAGTGCGGAAAATATAAAGAATTTTTGGTTTGAAGCACTAAACGTTGCTTCGCAAGAATGTGAGTTATGAACAAAACTTTCGCCCCAGTCGGGACTCGAACCCTCACGCTTCGTATTTTTGCAAACATTTGTAACATGAACTGGCCGATTAAAACAACAGATAACAAACAAAACAAGTCGAAAAGCCTAGACTTTGTTTTTCCTTGTTTCAGGTACCTCGGACAAATACAGTTCTTCGTCGGTAGCCTTCACTCACAGATCAAATCCATCGAAATCAGCCTCAGGTACGATTGAACACACCGTAACATTTTTCTGATGGAGCAACAGTATTGGTAAAAAAAAGCTGACCAATCCTTCAAAAAACGAGCTCCGTACTACAATACCTATTCTTTATATGCTATACTCGCACTTTCGCTCACTAATGCATTGACGACCGCATGCCTTCGGAGCAGCGTGGGACGGCGTGATCCATTATCGTACCACGCAATCTCGTCTACGACCTAGCGAATGCGCCACTTCCTTTTCCTATGTCGTTGTCTGCATGCTTCTACTATGTGCAGTAAATAGGCTCGCTTTGAGTTCCTCCTAGTTTGAGCTGCAGAAACTTGTTGACGATGTGATTCAGTATTGAGTCACGACTGCCAAATCAAATCGCGCTCGTTCCTGACGCAAGGGAACCTTAGGCGCGCGCTGTCATCGATGTGTTGAATTTTCACAATTTTATTCGTATCAAAATTTGTAGTTTTCCACATTTTGGATTCATTCTGTGAATAATTTAAAAATGTTGCTGTTGTTCAGAAAGGAGCTGTCAAAGTTATTCTTCGACAACACCGTCGACGAATTCATCTACCTCACTATCTCGCCAACGGTCGATCGATTACAAAAATACTTGGATGAAGTGAAGCGGTTATCTGCTCTGAGGGTTTACCCTCGAAGACCGTTCCGCATTTCCTAGACTCATTCAGTCAAATGAGGCTAGCAGAATTGTACGGTGACACTCGTTCTTTCCAAGCAGGCCATACTTCACAAGAACCGTCTCTTTCATGGGCTTTTCTTGAGGATTTTTTTGTTCGTATCCTTTCACGAAACTTTGAGCTGCTGGTCGATTTTGTTCAGGGATTGAAGTGAAGTAGAAAATTTATGTAATTTTCCAAGTAATTGTCAAAAAGTAAGTCGAGAGATGTGTTGTAAGTACACGGTACGAGTCCGCACGCACTAACTTTGCTTCATTTAGTCTGAATTGCTCAATTCCCTGCTCTCGTCTGCATTTCTTGCCTGTGTTACAAACTCGCGCTTTTGGCGAATCGCAGATCGTTGCGATTTGTTGTTGCGTTTGCATTGAGGTGCCACTATTTGGGAAAGGGAGCGCAGACGACAGCAGAAAGTCGAACCATTTGAACAAATCGGATTGAATCTCGGCGCTTTTTGCCGCGTGTGGGCCAGCTACGTAGACTTTAGACATATACTCGAAGACTCAAATTTTACCTTCGTTCTTGTTAATTTGCTTTAAGGCTTTAATGTTTGTTGTAGCTCTGTCGTTATCCCTCCGTACTCAGGCTCCTACTGCTAGATCAACTGTTCTATGCTCAACATTTTTTTTGTGTTGGCCGTTAAAGTATATTCTGTAATTTATATGTTGCTGAATCGGGTTCCGGGTGGGACCCACCAACTCTCAGACGGCCCTTCACGTCATGTCTATAACTGTGTCTGTGATCTGAAACACATCGTCGCTGGCTTTTCAGCTCATGTTCGGGTTTTCTGTTCTTTGTTCCGTGATCCATACGGTGTCTTAATAAATATTTGCTACTCTGTAAAATTACCCTATCTAGCTTTACGAATTAATAGTCAATACCGCAAAGTAGTATTCATAGTCCATAATAATCTGCTGGATAAAGTTCAATTCTTTCAAGGGACATATGAGTGACTTCTTTCCCGAAAACCAAAAGGCTATGTGCTGACTCCACCAACAGCGTCAAGTGTGCGTTGAAGATTGCTTGGCTAAGAGGAGGAAACCTATTTAGTCACTGAGAGGGAACAAGTCATAAGTGACGGCAGATCAGCTGGGATCAGAACGCAGCTACCTTTTCTTGGCGTGGCCGTTGAGGATCGCGGACTCATGTTGATGTCCTGCGAGTCGTCGGTAGCGTGCATGTGCTTCAAATTTACCCGCTCCATGGAGATGTGAATTCGATAGGCATTGAGAGGTTCCCAGGAAGGGCCTCCAAAATGACAGGGAGAAATCCACTACCGAAGAAGAAATGCAGTTTTTAGGTTCCTTCACAAACATTCAAGCTTTGAGCTTGAAGCTGTTAACTAGCTTTTCATAGAAAAGCGGAAAGACACAGGAATTCCGGAGCGGCCTGGATATTTATACAAATTTTCAAGAGGCGTTATGGTCGGTTGGAAGAGCAGCATTGCAACGAGTCTGAGAGAACTCTTAGGATAGGATCCTTAACGCGATCATCTATTACCATGAGCAATTTTTACTGGGGGGGGGGAAGGGATAGAAGGCGGCTCTATAATTAACACGGTCCGTCTTTTCTCAACGAAATTCAGTGTTGACACTGACACGAAGACTTACAAGCACAATGCCTTCATAACTCATGGCAGAGTCTACAATGGAATGGCAGCAGTCTCATTGAAAACCGAGGTAGGGAAGGCTAGTGACGCAGTGGTGAAGAAAAGATCAGGAAAAACGGCCCACAATATAAGAAATGGGGACCCTTTTTGCCCTTGATTTGCGCGTTAGCCGATTCTCATTGATGCTCACCTCACACATGCAAACGCCCTCTCTGCTAGGGCGGTTAGAGCCCGACCAAGAGGTTAGCTATTCGGTGGGAGTGCTGCGGTGCGAGCGGCAAGAGTACGGCACTGCTAGGGAATTGACAGGTACCCTTCGCTGCGGAACACGAGTCGCTCGTACTCTTACAACTGAGGTCGTTCAGGGTGTGGAGCGCTTTTTCAAAACGGTTTTTTGCATGCTGTAGAGGCTCTCACGAGGACTACAATACTGTGTTTCTTTTTCGCTGAGCGGTCCCCGTGAAGGCCACAACAGGATCGGAAAAATCAATTGAGAATGAGTGGTTTTTACAGTCTTGGAACTTTTCCCGATAGCTCCAATTTACTTCACTTCGGCGCCATTCGGTGCCCTTCTGGCGTTACAATTTTTTGTTTCCTTTTATAAGTTCTGGCAAAATTCAAGTGCATACGTACTGATGTCTTGATGATGAACACGATACCTAATAGCTGGCGCTATTTGAAGCGAATTTCGAAGCTCCAACCTGAAGTGCAAAAATTTGTCATTAAGAGGGACAGAACCCTAAACCGTTCGTTCATCATTTTTTTGGCCTTCGGAGTGCCGTCAGTGAAATGAAACACAATGTTGTAGTCCACGTGCAGTATTCAAAAAACCGTTTCGAAAGAGCCATGCATCACTTCGGCTACCCACGGCGAAGTAGGTTTAGAACTTATATTGAACTAACCCTTTGGTCTGCGCACTCTTTGCCGTCTTCTAGTCGGCTAAATGTTCCAAATCATGATTTGCAGACTCCAACTACATATGGCTGCCATTGATGCTGTCGTGTTCGCGAAGCGGGACTGAGAATGCAATAGGTTGTTTGCGCCACCTATCACGGCAAAATGCGGGAATCCGGGGTGCCCGCTGCACCTCAGTAGGGGAGGGCGCATGCGCAATGAGAATACTTTTCAATGAGTGGATAGTCGTGACTTCTTGACAGCCTCTGATGGCCTGCAGCGGGTTAAGTCGATACTTATTGCTTCTGATGGCAAGCAGCGGTAGATGACATGTACACACCGCATGCTTCCCTGCCCAGGTGAAGTGTGCTAACGCGTTGACTGCGAATGGATGAAGACTAGTGTCGATCGATGCGGACAAATTAGTACCAAGAGGAGAAATGAATCGACGGACTAGTTATTATCAAAGGAATACTCATGGAACAAATCATGATCTATTCAAGCCATAAAGCCCTGCTTGAGCCTATTATTCCGGCGATAGATGGAAAGAACAGAATATTGCTTCATGTTTTGGTAACTAAATTCGAAATCGAAGGCTGCTACGCGTTCGAATTGCCCACGGACGTCTTTCACAATGCTGGCGACTTGGTTCTTGGAGTGCCTTCACTAGAAACTCTTTCTGGCCTTCTGCTTTATTGCATTCACATCTTACACTTCTACTCCATCCTATTCTATCGATCGATTTGTCTCTACTCTCCGAAATCGCGCGCTTTAACCCGATTCTTTCATTGCGTCGCCTGATACGTAGCCGGCCAAAGCCAACTTCTTTCCATGCCTCGCCTTTGGCTCCGCCCGAATTACCTTCGATGTCCATAAGTGTAGTTTTTGTACGTTTGTTTCTCTTCGGAAACCGAATCTTCATGCGTGAAACTTTGTGTGCTGTTTCCAGTGATCACAACTGACACATTCATGTCAAGAAAGAATGCAAGAATTTTCCGCGAAACTAGTGAATATAGGTGGATGGACCGGGCCATACATAGCATGCCGCGCATCCATATTTTTTTATTCGAGTACAGCTTCAACATCAATTTCATCGCGGGGTGTGCCTTTTAATAGAACTTCCGGGAGCACTGAACCCTCACCGGGAGGATCTACGAATATTAGGAATTAGAAACTGGATCATTACTCATCCTGGAAAAACTTCGGATCACATGGTGGTCATTCTAATGCGAACTGGAACCAGTTCCGCCTGTTCTCGGTGAAGGAAGTGCAATTGTTTCATCGAGCGATTATTCATGACTTTTTATTGGGAATATATCAATCATTCACTTCAACAAAAATTCCCGGTATGCCATCTTAGAAATTCTTTCCTTCTGTTGCACAATTGTGAAAAGCACCTTTCTGACATCGCCAGCCTTTTTTGGATCATCTATCTCAGTAAATACACGGGAAATCAGTAATCACCTCGTGGTAGGTCCCAAATCTAGCTAATAAAATGGAAAAGCGAAAAGCATTCAACATCATTCATTACCTCCTAAGGGTGTGGCTGTTCCCAGTATTAGGATATCTGGATACGATATGGCCTTTTTATTCATATTCATGATTTGTGTGAGCCTACTAATGTGCAAGCCGGCGCTCCTCTTCTCCCAAATTTGATCCAGCGTCCTTAACTAATAAACTGGGCTGCATAGAAGCGTGCCACTTTCTTCCCCGTACACCAGCCTATACGTCTTTTAGATCCATTAGAATGTGTGAGACTCATTTCTCTGAAGACTTGATTCTTTGCGTGGTATAATTATTGTATGCGCGACGAAACGTGAGGTTGAGAAATTCAATAGTATTGCTTGCGTGGGATTGCTGGCCTGACGGATCAAGTCACTACAGTTTGCGCGGTCACTTTGAACCTTAAGATTTAGGTTTGGCGGCGGTTCAGTCTTAGGTTATGGCTTATGCGTTACCCATTGGCATATGCGTGGAGGGTAAGTACACCAGGTTTCATGTCTTAGGTTATGGCTTATGCTTACCCATGCCATCATGCGTTGTGGGGTAAGTACACCAGGCGTACTAATAACGAACGGAGTGAAGGCTGGTAAGGCGTGACCACGCGTCGGTGACTAATGCTGCGGTTAACTGCTACGCTGGTTTTACTATCGTACTACTCTTTTACTGATTACTTATTTTAGTTAGTTTTTCAAGTAAAAGTGTAAACTCGTCAAATTTCATTCCAGTGAAGCTTGCCATAATTCTCTCTCTAAAAAAGATTGCATCGAAAAATTCTCTTTTAAGAAATTTTTCAGCTGCTGGTGACTAATTTGATGCCGGAAGTATCTGACTGTTTCCGAATTTAGAATGAGGACACGCAAGTCGTTAGGCGAATTGGCACCGACACCACTAGAGGACGGTTATGGGTGATGGCGACCCGGCGACGGCGACAACCAACTGTTACACACGACGAGAACCGGCCTTCAGTAACACCTCCCG